AGCAGGAACACTGCAGCAATATTTTTCAATATTTTAATATTAACTAATACTGGTCTATTCCAGCAGCATAAGGTTCAGACTTAAAAAAAGGGGATTGATTTGCTTGGAAGGTAAGCATGTTAGTTGCTTCTTCTGAGAAGACTATTTACTGTTGTCACTCTGCATCTCCAGTTTTCTGGAAGGCAGACTTTGCAGGGTCTTTAATAAGATATCACAGAAGGAATGGTGCAACATCACTTCTGCAAGATGATACATAGCTACACACTTCTCCTCCTATGTAATTATTAAAAAAAAAATCATACTGAATGGAAAAATATTCAGACCCTTTTGTCTGTGGTTTCAATAGAAGTTTTTCTGTGCAAGAGTATTTTTCAGCTTGCTCAGTGAACTGTAGAGATTATTTCCATCTCTTCTGCATACCTCCTCCCTTCTGTCACTTACTGAGAAAATTCTGAACAGCAACTACTTAAGAAACAGAGCTGTCTCTGATGATCAAGAACAGAGAGACTCTCCAAGAGATCAGAAATCTAGCGGAAACAAGCAGCAAGGCTGAGAGCACTTGCACCCTTGCCGCAGGTCACACGGAGCTCTCCCACTGTCCTGCACCTTCCCTTAGTCAAAAAATACTGAGTTTGAGTTGCAAGAGAACTAACAAGCAACAGTTGGCTCTAGCTGGATCCGCAAATGCTAAGCAATTCTGCCCGCCCCATTCCCTGGTGTCTGCAAACCCTTCTACCTGCGCAAGACACGGGCAAATCCCCCTGGCGCCGCGTCCCCGCTGCCTGCCCTGCCGGAGGGAGCGGGCTGCAGCCGCTGCCAGCACCCCGGTCGCTGCTGATGGTGTGTTACACTGTATACATTGGAACTAGTAAATGCTTCATTGTGATTTTTGGCCACTTGGAATATTTTTAGCAATTTGCCAAGGTTTACCCTGTGATTTATTATGGAGGAAACAAACTCAAGCACTAACAAATGAAAATATGTAAACTCAGCCTTCTCAAGTCAATAGAAAGGTATTCAGCTCCTTCAAACCCTTCAGAGGCATGCAGCTTGCTGTAGAGACAATTGCTGGAAACAACGGTTTAAGAAGCAACAGAAATGTCATCTAAGGAGTCATATTTAAGTCTCTTAGAGATTTACAGTGGAAAAACTCCATACACACAATAGTTCCCAATTGTCATTCCTAAACTGTGTTCTAGGTTTGTTGGAAGTTCAACAATTTGTTGGAAATACATTTTGTATCTCTTTTTCACTAAGGCCAAAGCACTCCAGGTGTCTACCATCTATAACTTTATTATCTCAAATCTAATTAGCTAAAACACAGTATAATGAAAAAATATGTGAAATAATGAAATACACAGGAAAAAAATTACCTGCAGTTATAACACTAGATACAGCCAATAGTAATTGTTTCATTACAGTATCCTTGGCAGGTGGGGTAGGTGTCATTAAATAGAAGGTAAACTTCCATTTTTGGTATGAAAATTCAACTGGATGCTTCTGACACATACCTCCAGAACACAAGAGATAATGATTTATAAAAAGTGTTTAGCAGCCAGCACAGTATTACCTATAGTTAAAATACTGAAGCAATTGGAATAAAATTGGAAGCGTTAGTTTAATATTGAACATCATTGTTTCCCACAAGTCTTCTGAATACTTCTGAAAACATTGGGAATGGGATCAAGATTACAATAATCTAATAATTAAAACAAGGAAGCATATTAGTCATTAGAGTATGATTGGGAGTTAACATTAATTGTATCTGACATAGCAGAATACTGGAAGATGGTCGCTCCTTCTCAGCTGTCAATCTCAAGAGATATACAGAATTCACTTCTTGTCCACACAGTTCCCACTTTTGCCAGTATTAAACCGTCCCAGTGAGTGGCAAGAACCCTTTGTCTGTGCTTGCCACCACTGTCACTTGGCTGGTGGAATGATGCCGCAATATGCATGCCGCTTGATCATCTTTTCAGATGAACAGACACTATCCGTCCTTTCCTACAGAAAATAAGTGATACCAACCCATTGCCAAATGACCAAACCCAGGGAGTTTTTTCCCCACATTTGGACACGTCACTTGACATTCAAAATGCCGTTACGCAAAGCCAACTCACTCATACGCAGTCCTTTCTGGTTCAAGAAGCCCAGCAGAGAGAACTTCACCATGCAATTCTTTGTTAGCATAACATTTGACCTTGTATCTCTTTGGAAATCATACAACTTTGCTAATGCAGTCCTCACAGAATTAATCAAGCAGATAGTTAGACCCTAGTTCCTACGAACCCAGCCAATTATGAGCAGCACTGAAATTTGTCACTGGCATGTCCAACTACATTTTCCAACATAAAGATCAACAGAACCGTGTGGAAATGAGGCCCCGCTCCCAGACCTGCATGACTTGGACACTGTGGATGAGAACTGCTAGCAAAGCCAACGCCTTCAGGAACAGAGTATCCCTAAGAAAAAAGGCTTACCTCCCGCGTCTCCATTACCTGCTGCATTAAACCAACAAGAAAGCATAACGCCTTTCACCCTCCATTTTGCCTGTTTCTCCTGCAGTCCAGACTGCCTTTTACTCACTTCTCAAGATCTCCAGTCAACAGATTTATTTTTTGAGGCTCTCACACTGCAGTCTTCCCCTTGTATGAGAATAAAACCCATACTCAGCACAGCGCTCCGTGGCTAAATTTCTCTGGTGCTGAAGTGCTGCCCTCTCACCGTAAGAGTGCAAATTAAAGCCATGTTATCTCACAGCAACAGTTCACCTTCTTGTCCAAGGAGACATTTTGCCCAATTTTCAACAAGTGCTTGTCACTAATTAGATTCTTACAAAGGGAGATAAAACAATTCATGCCCCACAAGCATGGGACTGACTAGAGCCTACTTCACTATGGACTCCAGCTCTCACAGATCCCACGAGTTACCCAAGCAAGCCGCGTAACAGAGACAATACTCACAGCTTTAGCAAAGATGACCATCAGCTCAGGGAACTGGTGCGTAAGGAGGGCAAGCATTGCCGAAAAGGAACAGAGGCCTGCTGTGAAATGGATGAAAAAGGGAAGCTCCTTCTGTGGGTAAACAGAGACTTCGTGAAATGCTGAAAGGAAAAAAAATGAAGAATATTGGCATTTGAGAATTGAGGAGGGTTTTCTGAATTACTTACATATCCCCGTAACTCAGTTCTAGGCTTTCAGAAGGACTAAGAGTGGACTCAAGACTGCTGTGCAGCACATTAGGTCCCAGTACTTGAACTTCTCCAAAAATTTTTCCCCTACATTAAATGCTCTTCTTCATTATTAATAGTTATTACATCTTTCTCTTCCCAATCTTCTTTTTCACTTCCATGGGCTTTATTTTCAAAGCATTTCATCAGGCTTAGTCTTTGGTACGTACACCCTTAACAGGACAGAGGGCAGAACTGTAAGATTCACAAGCTGTCAAAATTACCTGGGCCAATTTAAACAATTTTGGTGTTTTCAACCCTCTGAAGCATTAATCCTGTTATCTGAAGAGAACAGCACATCTCCCCATCCTATAAGAAGCTCAGCAAGTACAAAACAACCATCCAGTTATATATACATGCCGGGTAGCTCCTTAATACTTTCCAAAGGTTGGTTGGTAGGCTACAGTAAATTTTTCAAAGCAGCTGACAGAGTAGACCTCAAATAAAACAGTACCAGGACTAGGTTATAAATTCTGTACATAGCAGCTCCTTGCAATTTCCAATCTATGGTAACAAAATCAAAAGAAGGCGATTAGACAGGCTAAGGGCTGGCATGTGGAGCTTTCAGCACTCAAGACACTACTACTGGTTCCTAGCTGAGGACCTGCTTGGTGAATTTGCAATTACTGGCTCTGAATACCTACAGCTCTGACTTTTATCCAATGATTTTTAAAGGGCTTTTAAATGAAGAACAAAATAGTTTCTACAGACATAAGAAATTACGAAAGGGGTGCACACCTCTTGACAAGCTGTTTTTAAAATGTAAGAAAAGCATCAAAATTTAAGGAAGTCTTTTTGGAAAACAAGAAAATGTAATTGTATTCATTTTTATTGTATTTGGTTTTCATCTTGTAATTTTTAGCTTTTGATAAGCAGTAAAATAAAGTCTGAGAAGGAAAAAGACACTTTACCCTCTCAGTTACTGTTTCTGAATGTTGGCACAAAGAAAGTTATCATAAAAGCAAGCCCAGCAAAAGTGGCTTGTGCTGTTGTTTTGCTTTTAAGCATGTGATTTTGGAGCACAACTAGGTAGAACATTTGGAGTTCCACGTCTGACACCCATCAGAGATGTTTAATGTTAGCCCAGAGATTATCAGTTCACCTTCTTAATGTGCAACCAGCCCTGCTAGGGCATGATATGCACAGCAGCAACACACTCCTCCTTACTGAGCAACCAGAGAAAGTCCGCCATGGAACACCGTTAAGTTCTCATACGATGTAGAAACTCATTTGATTTTTAAAACAGGGAGCAAAATAATTTAGGAAAGGTCCCAACTTAAATTAGGAAAGTGTATAAAAAAAAAAGAGGGAAGTATTATTTTTCCAGTAGTTTTTGCTACATTGGGAAATTAAGATCAAATCCAAAACAGATAAGGACAATGAAAGACAATTCTATATGTTCAGAGCCAGTTGGGAATTGTGACTAGTTAGATCAATACAGGATTTTTAAATCATTAATTTGGCCAATGTTATTTTAAATAGATAAATTTAAAAAAAATTAAGTGTCAAGATTTCTCGAGGAAGTACTGCAATAAAAGTGTTAAGATGATTTTATTTATGGGTAGTTTTATATTTAAAACATAACAGGAATGCGTGAGTGATCGTGTTGAAATATCTGCATGTGTTGGTGTTTAATTATGCTGGGAAGTCTACAATTTAGGGTTAGTTGCTAACCAAGGAATTCCTTGTGCAATATCCTGCATAAGTGAGAAATGAGTAATTTAAAGCAGTCTAGGGGCAAATTTAAATTACACATTTTAAATATAACTTCAGGCTTTTAAATAGAAACACGTATGTGTAGTTTTCCTTTCCACAGCTGTGGTCTCAGCGGGTGTGATGGTGCTTTTGCAGTAGCCCCTTCCAGTCCCATGGGACTTGCGTTTCTTCATGACGGAGGAGTGCACCCCCAAAGGAATTCTATTAACATGCATAATTAACAGCCCATTTCTAATCTAAATTAATGCTATTTTCCTAAATATGATGAGCATGGGCCCTCGCGGTCGTTTATTTGCCTTACTGAAAGAAAAAAATTGGTAGGCTCATAATTGCATAAAGTAATTTTGAAGTAATGGGCAGCTGGAGATAACTCACTTTTCAGTGTCAAGTGCTAGTTTAAATCCATAAAAATACCTACATGGATAAAAAGCTCCAGGAAGCAGGAATTAAAGACAGGAAGCAATGCCCATTCTGTGAAGCTAACCAAGGTTTCTCTGTAAGACCACAGACAGGTTCTGCTGGACACCCAAATGCAGGACAGCAACCATGCATTCATTCCTTGCTGAAAGGAACCAGCTCCTCTGTGACAGCAGTCAAACCCATGCTTTTCAAAAGGAAGCTGAAGAACTGGTCCATTTTGCTGTTCTCAAAGTTGGCCACGCTTAGCCTGAATGTACCACACACGGACTTCATCTCTGAAGGACTGATGTTATTACAGAACCAAACGTTTACTGCACACGCACATCAAGTGCTTCAGGATTATTTGGGACAGACATCAACAAATAGCTGAGTCCCCTTCACAGGAATCTCAAACTAAAAAAATCCCCCTAAGGTAAATACAGAATACCACAAACTGAACGTGTCCTCAGCTTATGTTTTATTATCATTACTGCTTAGAAACCACTTACTTGGCAACAGTTCTCTGTCTGCTGTTTCTGTGCAACTCGGATAGGGATAGAAAAGGTGACCTTTCTCTAACGGGTATGGGATCATCCTGAACGCTGAAAAAAGAGCGAGCGACATTAGATCTGTATCTAAACCAGGTGACCAGCTTCTCACAAAGACATTAGTCTACTGTACAGAAAAAAATAAAACAAGGAGAGATACTTACTGCCTTCCCATGTGCAGTGTAGCAGATTTAGAGCCCCTTCTATCCTCTTCCAGTGCTGGAGGTGAAAAAACGCGTATGCTACTGCCTCACTGTCCCCTCGCTTCAGAATGTGCTCTGGAGGTAGCACTAAGCTTTTCATTTCTAGCAAATACTGAAATGAAAAATGGAAAGCACACTTCTTTACATGGAACATTCCATAATTTTTAATTGTCAAACATGAATTATCATTTGAGGCATAACTCATCACATCACACAGTGGCCACCTTGTACCTGCTGAAGAACCAGCCTGATCCCGACACAGCGCACACAGCCTGCACTGGCACAGGAGTGGAAACAGCAAAACACATCGGTGTGCAAGGCTCTTAAACTGGGGTTTTCACACACAAAATATCAGGAAAAAAAAAATGCATCTTCAGTAAGGCACAATAAAAATACATTATTTTGGAATACACATAACAAGTGTAATGCTGCAGGTACAATATCAATGAGCTACAAGTTCAGGCTAATAAAAAAAAAAACAAACAAACACCAACAGTATTTTTGCTCATCATTTAATCACTGAAAGTTTCAATGTAGGAGGCTAAGTACTCGTTAGCTCTCAAGTATGAGTAGCAAACCAGCAAGTGTCAGTATTGTAACCAAAGGAAGAATAATAAACCAAACCCAGGAAAATCTTGTTTTAGTGTGGTTTTGTGGGACTACCACAAAGTATCTCTGATTTCACATTTTTTCAATTTCAGCCTTCTCCCTACATCAGCAGAATATCTGATGCACACAAGGGTCAAAGAACACAAGAATTAATCATTTCCCATTTCCCCTGAAACACAGGACACGCAATTTTGTTTTTTCATGGTACGTTAAAAAAGAGAGGTATTCATTTTAATTTAGCTTTTAAAAACAGATGAGTAATTTCTACAGGAATGAAATGACAGCTTCAGCTCTAGTATTTACCTGTGGGTTGTTCTCTCCTAGCACATCGTGTCTCATTCAATAAGAGCCAAAGCTAATCCACATCTTTGATCAATGTAGCTGGCGATTCCTTTGACTGTCTCCCAAAGTGTAAGAATGCAGCTAACTCGCCGATTTGTTTCAGCAGATGCCACAAACTATGAGATTATTTACTAATCCAGTTTGAGGACTTAACTTTTCCCATTCAGATTCTTGAAGGAATGTAGGAGGGGTTATGCCCTGGCCAAATAAAGCACATTTACTGCCTGGCTAGGTTCTTCTCTTAGTGCCTTGGGCCTGCACTCCGGAGGGTAATATTCTTGCTAATCCCCTCTAATCCTCTTCAATTTTTTAATTTTATTTTTTTTTAACACAGTAAAGGATCACTCACACAGGGCTGCTGTGGGAAAACGGTCTCAAGTATCTGACCCTTGCCCTGACTCCTCATCTCTCCGCAGTGCCCAGTGCGAACTGTGCGGAGAGCAGGGGAGTGTCCCCGCAGAGGGCAGGGGAACATCATCCCCGCAGTCGCGGTGACGGAGCCCCGCTGCCAGTATTGCCACGACATGCCAATGCTGAACCTCACGCTCTGGCCGCCTCTGTGCCCATGTCACCACGTGAACAGAAACACTGCCCAGTCTGGGAGGTTTTCATGTCCGTGTTTAACCGTAAGACAGGCAAGATGCCGGTACTGAAATTATCTTGGGTTTTACAGATTTAAGAAAGTTTTTCTACACTATAAAGGTCGGCAAGATATTCAGGAGATTATTGGAAAGGATTGTTTCATACATTTCCAAAACGTAGCTACAGATCTCTAATCTGAAATGGCTTAAGAGGAACAGTTTTCTAGCGCTGTACAACACTTCCTAGCTTTCCAAACAGAGCCCGTCCTTGTAAAAGCGAAACTCAGAACAAAGAGGAACAAACGTTATTTTATTTTCCTTACACAAAATGATGTTACACGCAAAGACAACCGCTTTCATCAAATACGAGAACAAAAGGATTTCTACTTTACGTATTCATTTATTTTTAGTCCATGGGACAGAACGGACTGCAAATACAAACCCCAGATTTTCTTTCCCCCTAGTCCGCTGTAACCCATTGGGCAAGTTACTTGTTTGTGCCCTTGTTCCCTTGTTTGCTTGACTACGAGCATTTCAGAGCTCTAGATAGCCAGCACCAACAGAATTCTGCCCTGCCATCTAAAAGGCAATTAGATGTTTCAAGGCAATAAAAAAAATCATGACAACAACTGGCTAGGTATCCGATTAGAAGAGATGTTTCTGTGGCTGCCTGTAGAACTATGGAACATATTTTGCAAACAGCCTGTTTGAAATGATATCTAACTTATTTAAAAATTTGCATGAAGCTCCTGAAACAACTGAAGGATATACAAAATAAAAGAACTTTTAGATAATGATAATGCGTTATAATCTTCTTCCCCTAAAGGCAGAGGCTAAAGAAAAATCTGTCTGAGACTGTCTGAAATGAACTTGCTACGCTCTTGATCAGTCATGCAAACAAGCAGCAATTTCTCCCAGCAATTAGCTTTCTCAGTGCACATTCTATTAGATTGGACAGGCAGACAGAACAGAGCGGCTGGATAATTCGAGCCTTCACAGCCATAGTCATTCGGACTCCATGATCATTTGCAGAGGATTAGGTCCAGGACTAAGCCAACCTTCTGCACTCAAGGTTTCAAACTGAACACATCACAATGCCAGTACAGTAAAAAGCAACGTAAGATTTTATTTTCACCCAATGCTCAGCGGAATCCATACCTTTGCCACGCAAGTAATGCCAGACATTAAATTACAGCCCGTAGCAATATTGACTCGTGATCTTGTTTGCACGTGGATGAAGAAAATAAGTGACTGTCGATCTTTCAATAACCCGAGTTCTGGAGCCATGCTTGGAAGCACAGCAGAAAAAAGTATTTTGAAATACTATGAGTGGTTATGATTTGGAGAACCTGATTTGTTTTCAGGGATTTTAAATATCTAAGTTCATATTTATTAATGCTTACCCTTACCCCACAAAGGGCCTTCATTAATACATTACTGGATTTTCCAATGAGTTAGAAAATTCTGAGTTCAAATTTTTTGTAAAAAACCCAGTTTAACCATCACCTATTGCAAACAACTCATTCTGGCCACCGAACGTTTATGATACGAATACTAGTGTGTTTAACAGCTCAATGGCTGGAGTTAAAACCACCTTCAAGAAAACAGGGCTAGAAAGGTTCAAATAACAAGATGAAACATAACACAACTTCTTTCAGAAGACAATAAAAAGTGGTCCAGTAGGAAATAAAATACTCCTACCTTTGGAACATGAGGGTTAAATTCCACAGCTCTGTGAATTGCTTCCACAGCGTTAATTTCTGCTGTGCTGAGCCCTCTTTTGGATGCAGTTTCCGGGGAGAACCTGAAGGGAAAAGCCCATGCTGAGCAAAAGTAAATAATAAATGCTAGCCAGGTGTTTATCTGCATCGTAAGCCTGGAGCTCATGAAAAACTGACTGATTTATCAAGAAAGATAAACAAACCCTTCTAGGAGACAAATGCTCATGTTAGTTTATGCATCCTGACTGTTGTCCATGCCCATATGACAAAGTTATGTTCAACTTTTTGAAACTTTGTGTCAATCACAGAAGGTAACTGAGTGCCCAGCCTTTCAAAAGACCCTTACAACATCACCTGCTCAGAGGCAGAGCTAGAATCAGCTGTGCAAATACACCAGAACCAAAGTGAAATGCCAACATGAACCACCACAAATAACCTGCACCCAATCCACAAAACAAGGAGCTGCTGAACATCACCAGCACGACACTGAAAACAAAATTTATACAAAAGCACACGTGTGAACACGGGCTCCTGAGAAACATCTTCACCTGTATTAATTTTATGGATGCTTACAAGAAACTTTAAATGACGCTTAACTATGCGCACACACAGACACGTGTATATATAGAAATACACTTAAATTGCTCTTAGAAATGTAACTGCTACACATTGGGTTTAGACCTTTTTAGGGCATATTTTACAGCATGACCCAAGACAAGCAACAAACCCCTGTTCTCACTTTTGTGCTTGCTTACCTTTCTGAAACAGCTCTGGCTTTTAACAGGGCTGCTGTGTAACATATTGCTGCTGATTTTGGAAGACTGATATCTATGATAAAATAAAATAATTAAGCTGTAAGATTCTAAGGCAAGACAAACATTTTAAACCCATATCCTTTGAGCTTTAAGATTTTTACTAGGGCAGACAATAAATGTAACATCTGGAACATTTCAGCTATGATTAGAAACTCTGAATTTCTTTGCGCAGTCTTCTTTCTGGTCACCAGTCAGTCTCAGACTAAAAACTCAGAGGAGTTGCAGTTTGGTGGTAAAAATTAATTTTTTCTTCTAAACATACCAAGACACTGAAACCGAATTCAAAGAGAAATGCATGTATAAACACATGCTTAAGAACAGTGTACTTTTCCTGTATTAACCCACAAAGGTTTAAAATAAGCTTCTAATCTTTATCTAATTTTGCAATTGTACATTAATACAGAGTTTTACATAATACCGGAACAGAGACTGACTAGAAACTGACCAAAAAAATTACATTACAGACAGGTAGACAAACTTTAAAGAAAATGCAATTTCCATTCTTTTCCAGTTCCATGGGGAAAAATTGTGTTAGTTGCACGTTTTGTAGACTATCTGAGGCCAAGTTTGAGCTGACAATTATAGATTAGAAGGTTAGCACTCCACAGTACAAGTTTACTTTAAAAGCAGACAAAGTCTGGGGTCTAATTCCCAAGTACCATGTTGTGTATAGTCAGATGGCTCTTGCTTTTTTTGTAAATCCCATCCTGGGCTTGTCCATCACTTACTAGAAGTCTGGCTGTCGTGTCAAGCAAAACACAGGGGTGCTACAGAGAGTTTGAAGCTCATACTCATTTTTCCAGATGCTTAGAAAAAAATCAGCAACCCTTTCTTAAGAAAGTGTTGCAATTCCTGATGTTAACATAAGCACCAGGAAAGAGCAAATGGTTTTGTTACATTAGTAAGAAAGAACATGGATGGTCAAGTCCCAGGAGCAGGCAGCTAGGGTGGCCACGCGCAAGGGGCACAGGATTTGGGCAAGAATATCACACTTTTGATTCCCTGAAGCAATGAAGAACAGAGACACAAGAGAGAACACGCTGACTTCTTGAGGGCAGGGAACAACTGCCACAAAATACTGCTTCTCTGTCCCTGCATTCTGAAGTTGATTTAAGGGACAGCTTTGACAGCATCACTTTGTACACCAATGATGTGGGCACTGTCTAGGTGCCAAACTCTGAGGCCAGTAAGAAAGTAAGTATATACTTTATTAACCTTTATCAAGACTCTCACAGCACCTGAAACATATTAGTTGAGATGGAAAGTGAAAGCAAGCTACCGTCATTTAATGGACTAAAGCTTGCACACCACTAATCTCTGGCAAGCAGCATGCTCGCCTGTTGCTAATCTCTGGCAAGCAACCTCAGTATTACAGAATCACAAAGCCAAGCCTGGAAGATGACAGAAGGGAAAACTACCTTTTCCAGGTAATTTACACCAATTACTTGGGGGGCTATGTGCTGACTGAAAAAGGCTGATTAATTTAGGCACAACCAGGGACGTAGAAGAGATTAAAAAATTAAAATAATCCTTGAATTGAAGCAAAGTGAGCTCCAAGGTTTCTTTAGTGATTAAAAGCAACTTAAAAGAAACATAAAAAGTAATCAGTATGCAGTTTAGTTTGGCTAAATTTGACCTCATGGTTCAAAAGAAAAAACTTGACTTGCACTCCGGAAGCGCTTATTTGTTGCCAATGAAGGGAATCTAGGCAACTAGCTGAGATCCTGGGTAGCCATCTGCTTTTGGACAGGCACATCTTGCCCACCTCATCTCACACAAAACACCAGTATTTCCCAACAGACATCACTTACCATCATACTTGGCTAGAATTGCCTGGACATCTGCATAAGCCTGTAACTCCAGTAGTGCCTCCAGGAGGTTTTCATGAATATTCATCATGCTGAGAAGTGGAAACTCTTTCATCAACTGCAAATCAGTAAAGAGAAATAAATTAAGCACATATAGAATTGCACTTGAATCCCTGAAATACTGAATAGAAATCAGTACAATAATTCAAGCTTTTTCAATGTTCTCTTTTCAATGGCTGTTTTGACAAGTTTGTCACTGAGTCAAGCATGAAGCAAACTGGGCAACAGAACTCTGAACACGACATCATATAATATAAAAATTTAAAACCTACGTGTAGGAACCAAAAAAAACTGTTCTCAAAAAATCATGAAGTGCAAATCTCATCAGAAAATAATTCAATTAGACTCATTATGATGCCTAGAAAGGAACTTTAAACCATCAGTTTGGACAATGTCACTGAAAACAAGTTGTTCCCCTTTTTTATTTTTACTTACATCTCTCATCATTTTTACTGCTTCTCGTATTCTTCCCAGTTTTCTCGCACACATAGCTAGTCTCCTTTTCACATACACCAATACATTGGTGTCTCTTCCTGATTACAAAGACAAAAAAATAGTCTATCAGTTTCAATCCTTACCTCTCCTTCCCTCTCTCAAAAAAAAAACCCCACCAAAAACCTCATAACCTTCTCCTAACTGCACGTAAAAGCACAAAATAATTACTACTGCTGTCCCAACCAAGGCCCAGCTCAAGCAATGCCAGCTAAAACAGGAGGAACTGCCTGGCTGAACTGGGAATCGAACTAGAATCACTAATTATAACTTAGTTTTACATTTCTGCTCACACAAAAACTAAAGTTTATGCGAGTCAAAAGTGCTTACTCAGCTGTGCTTCGTGCTGGGGACTTTGGGCATGGCAGTTCTGAGACCTCCTGTAAATCATTTCTCCTGCTTTCAGAGCCTGCTTGAAATACTTCTCAGCATCGACAATAGTCGTTGCTTCTTCCTCAGCCAGGAGGACATATGCAGTGGCACAACTGTAACAAGGAAAAAAACCCACTACTTACTCTGAGCGACAAAGTTTAGTACTTTTTGAGTAAGTGTTAAAAGCATTAGAAATGGGCAGTTTTCACTTATGTTTAATATTAGGCATTGACAATATTAAAATACCAAAATATTGACTTAATGTTCAAATGGTGAGTGTCAGGAAAACAGAAACCTTTTCCATTTTACAGAAAAACACACATTTGGAGGAAGAACAAAAGAAAGAATTGTAGCAGCAAGTCAAATAATTTTCCTACAAATATTAAATATGCTCTGGTAATTGTCTGGAGAGGGTTTCTTGTGTTTGGTTTGCTTTGCCCTTTTAAAACCAGGAGGCAGGTATTTTTTAGAGAACAGTTCAATACCTCAGTGTAACTGACAGACACGTGTACAATTCTCAGTCACAGAAATCTCCCTTTGCTGAATCTACACTATTAGCACAAGAAACCGACAGTGTGCTCAATATCACCCAATTTAACCTTTCACGCTAGAAATACAGCAACTGGAACTTTAAACTTACTCATTGTTCAACTCTAAAGCTTGATATGCTGCTTTAATCCGGGCTTGAGGGTTTCTCTCTCGCCACGCTTTCTGCATAACTGTGGTAAAAACATGGAAAGGCAGGTGAGGGACAGAGACCGACGAAACACCTGGGAGCCCACGGAGGCAACACTGGCTGCTTATGCCTCAGTTCTACATAAATATTAACTTCGATTTTGCAAATTCCTGTTTGCTATATAATTGTTATAGGGAAGAGTAAATGTGTTTTAATTCCAGCGTGAGTTTCTACCACAAGCAGCAGAATCTTGCAACTTGTCATTACGCCCCAGATTTAATTTAAGAAGGCAACACCACCAGGAGGATTATTCACTGACCACTGAAGAACTCCTACACTGAGAAGCAAAGACAGCTTACATAACCAGGCAGATGTACAATTTCTAAATTGCTACAGATTTTTGGAAACATTTCCCAAGACTTGTTGAAAGCTTGGCAGGGGCAACTGTTAAACACAGGTTCTTGCACGGACCTGCACGAATTTTAATTTAAGCTTTCAAACAGAACTTCAAAGAAAACAGTGATAGAGTAAGCTGTGTCTTGCACAGGTATAGATTCAAGTATTTAGACAACTACCAGATTATAAAGGGTTAAACAACTTATTTTTAAATTTACAAAGCACATTTGAGTGTCATAACACGGCACAGCCAATTCAAGATATACTATAATAATTTATCACCTATTAGAAAGTGTTCTAGGAAACAATTCAAAAGGGTGGAACCTATCTATACAGAAGGGTCGTGTGAATTACAACTGGAATTCAAAACTACGGTCAGACGAGGAGCAAACAAAAGTTCAGTGCAGCGACTCTAAACCCCTCCCCACTACGCTTCCATTAAGGAAAAATGGAATCGCAAACCAAAAAACAACTTCTCGCAAAAGCAAAACAATATTCTTGGAGCTACCATCTTCCATGCAGAACACACAGCTTTCACAGGGAATAACGGTTCTGAAAGAACTCCAAACCCTTACGCTCATGGAGTTGCATATCTGGCCTATCTCAAGCACGATAAGAAAACTGAAGAATCTATACGTGTTTCTTTTGGAACAAAACCTTCTGCTGTCCAGCAAGAATAACGTGGAAAAATGTTTGAGTTTTCTTTTGGAAACAAAATATTAGTCTTGGCTTAGCAAGCGAGACAATACACTCCATTCTGTGAAACAAAAACACATCGTTCATATCAAGCATGTCACAGCCAGATGACAAGTAACGCTTCCGGAACTTGACAAATGGACAATAGTTCACACCCTGTCTGACAATAACCAGGTAGAGACATTTTCTGCACTGAACATGTGGATCAACGAAAAAATTCTGGAGACTGCACTATTCGTTACTAAGGTTTAAACGAGACCACATCTTTGGCTCTTGAGAATACAATCCAGGTTTTCAATACTGTGTTGCTAATTATTTGAAAAGTGCGAGATCTTAGAATATGGCAGGATCCTCAGAGCATTAAAGTCAGTAGAGAAACCACAAGGTAAAAACCATCTTTCCACTAAATTAATCGATTAAACCTCCTTAGCAGTTGAGAAAGGCTATCATTTCCCAAAATATTTTACACAGTAGCTTGCGCTACCTTGAAGTATATTAAAAATATCCATGATACACTCTCCAACAGTTAGCGTACGACGTCGGTACCTGTATCTGAAGGCCGAAGGGCATCTGTATCACAGGTGAAAAAGTTTTGATGATCTTGAGCAGACAAATTCATGTCATAGTACGTAAGAGGCTCCTTCCCAGTCACCCACATGTATCTTTAACGGGAGAAATTTCAGTAAGAGGCACTCCTAGTAAATAGCAATACCGATACCAAGGGGGATATCTGATCTGCCTAACACCTGAAGCTACTGCAGAAGAATTTTATTCATAAAAGACTGGAGGTACCAACCAGAAGATTTCAAGTACTGCTGTTCCATAATCTGTACAGGTCGCCAGAAGGCTTCCTGCAGGGGGGAAAAAAAAGTCTTTTTGACCCTAAAGTTCTGAACAACTTGAGAACCGGCTTCCTAGGAAGCAGCTTCTCCTATGAAATAACACAAGGAGACTTTCAACACAGCCATATCAGTCTCAGATTTAGGATCACTGTCTCAAGCTCTGAATAGTTTTTCTCCTACTTTACTCTCAAAAAACCTGATGATGTTACAATAGTATTTGCATTCTTAACATTTAGACTGCCAAATCTTGGATAGGTGCCTTTTAAACACAGCACTGGCATCAGTCACCCCTATAATCCTGCAGATCTCGGCTGTCTCCTGATATTACTAGTGCAAGCTCTGTGAAGAAGTCATGTGTATGCCCCGATTAATTTTAAAAGCATGCAATGGAAAGTAAGATAATTAATACCTGCTATACTCTGCCCCTCTGAAAAGATTGAGAGGATTTCGCCACACTTTGCACTCTGGAAACAAAAACAAAACAAAAAAAAAAAAAAAGGACTTTTTGAATTAAGAGGACAGGCAATATTACCTTGACTCTAAAATGCAGCAATGCAAATGCAGTTTTACTTTCGAAAGCTGCTTTAATTTTACTGTTACACAACCTGAACATGATCATATGATCTTCTTCTCCCTAGACTGCTGCTATCCCATAGGGGTACAAAAGCACATGGTGCAAAGACTAAACACTGCCACTCACACTCATGCAATGTTTATCTTGCACATACTCAGAACAGTAAATATCTAATGTTACTGAAAAAGCTTTAGCTAAACATGTAATACATTTTCTAAATCATATTTTTAATAATGAATGGTTTAGATCAAAGATGCATTGTTATTTAGCTTATTTTTACCATTATTGATAAAATGCAGTGTAAGGTGTAGGCCTTTCTCCAGTTCTTACACGCACTAACGCAGTGTCAAAGCCTGTTAAAAGCCAGCTCACGTGAACCAGCCACCTTGAAGCTTTTGGAAAACTGCTGGGACACGTTAACAATCACCTGGCATGTTCTGCCTGCTGGTCTCGCTCTCTCCAGCCGAGAACGCTGCTGGTGCTGGAGGGCTGTTTTCTACGCCACCGATAAGGGGCCTCAAATGACTCAAAGAAACCTGCTCGATGAAAGATGTGCCGTATTTTCGGAAATGCCACCACTCAAACACCTGTCACAGGAGAAAACAGCAGCAGAAATTTCCATAGGCCACATGTAACTTAAACAGCCAATCGTTCACAGCTAGCACAGCCCCTTGCAAATGACTAGAGATGGAACTACACACAAATCAACACTAATTATCTGGTTTGGCCTGTCTTGTCATGCAGGATCACCCACATAACATGAGTAGAAAAAAAAAAAAAAACCAGTAGAATTTTAGTCAAACATATATTCCTCCCTCCCCAAGTCATTAGGGTAACTTCTAAACCCTTTACAAAGTGTCCGTATAGGGAAACCGTGCAGAGAGGCAAGAACCTCAAGACAGATTTAACTGATGAGAAGATGTATTTTCTTTGGCTTTTAATACTGAAAATAAAGATCAACCCAGAAGATTTGTATGTAGTACTGCAGTCTGCATCGAGGTCAGATGATCATCGCTGCAACAGCTGCGCTGACCATGCAGTGTGCCCCTTTCATTGCGTGCAGCCAGCCACGTCTGTGCACACTGCTGTCTGAAGATGAGCTGAGTTATTGGCTCATTTTCACACCAAAGTCATTAAGACAATTACATGATGACACACGCACAAAAGCCCCCGCAGAAATTACTGTGGGAAGCTAAACTCTTACATTCCTAGTAAAAGAGTTTAAAAATCTGTGTTTTCTTTACACAGGTAAGTCGGCAGAGTTCTCCTGTCTATTTTGCATTTGTCGTTATCTATGTACATTCACATGTACACGCACACACACGTATGGACATGTACCTCCTTAAAACAAGCCTAAGTTTCTGAAACGGGTACATCTTATTTTCCTTACACTCACCCTAACATACATACACAGGTAGCATCAGAAAAGCTCCTAAATACCAAGGTCCTTCCTAGGACAAAGGCACCCTCTAGAGTCTGATCAAAAAAATGCTGATTGCATTTACCCCTAATGAAAGCATCCTAGAGGTGCTGAAGTTGCTTAAAAAAACAGAAGTGGACTACTTACAAATATCAGTCCAGATATAAAAGATGAAGTCACTGTAAGGGCAAAGTAGAATTTTGGAGTCAAAGTGCTTAAGAAGACAGTCACTGTTAAGAGAAACAAAAACAAAGACTTAAGGAGCAGAACCAAAAAACAAATAGCTTTTTATTAAACAATGACAGATGAAATATTATGTAAACACATAACACAATATAGCCCTATAAACCCCTTACTTTCCAGATAAAGTAACTTTGTTAGAGAATCCTTTACATATGTCATTTTCTGTTTCTAACCATCCATGACAGTGAATTAGGTTATATTCCCCATCTGAAAAATTCAGTGTTAGTTCTTGGGCAAAGCAGCCTATGGTTTCAACCACTGCATGGCTGGTGGACATGTAGCCGATGTAACGTGTTATTTAATTTTAATCTAAACCAGAAATGTCCTGTTTTGATGACAGTTCATACCCAGTGTTAAGAACATACTTTTTCCCCAGACCGCTCCTTCCCGGTTTTTACATCGCAGGGCCGGGAAGGCAGCTTTCTAGCGCTACTCTGACCGAGGTTTTGACCCAAACCGCACAGCACCTTTGTCACCCGCCACCAGCCCGGGCCAGGAGGGGACACTGGCGGCGAAGGGCAGCGTGGCTGGCGGTGACAGCGAACCCGGCTGCCGCAGGCTCCCCCCAGAGCAGGACCCCAGCCCGACCGGACACCCCGGGGAGGGGCGGGGGTCTGCAGGGACACACAGTGACAGGGCGTGGGCCGGGGACA